CTTTTGTTATAATTTACCATTACTTCACTTTTTTTCTTGTTAGTGTTACCATTACTTAAAAAGCCATGCATAAGCAGAAGGCAATCAGCTTGGTACCCTTAGCTCTTGCTTAGCAGGTGAGCCTATACAAGTATGTCATGCCAACAGACTGCAACATATTCAATTTCGTTATGATGGAGGTATATTCTTCCCACAGGGTTTTGAGTCACTCAATTTGCAAGTACCAAATAAAAATATCCAAGGGAAATGCTGCAGAAAAACTTCAGAAACAAAGGGAACAATACGTGAAAGATATGAGTACCTTGGACTTAGTCCTATATCTGTCAGGAACAACAAAAGATAAGTGAACCAACATGCTGATGTGATATCATTTAGCATGTGTCCAGCACCATATGATAGTGTGGCTAATCTTCCTAAAGGCCCAGCATATTGTGCTTCTGATGATGACTCATCACCGACTGAATGATGAACCATAGTAGAAGTAACGAAAGACAATTTTCTCCACAAGTGCCTCTAATTTTTAAAAATCTGCAGAGAGGAAAAAGATTTAGTGAACTACTTGAAAAATAAGGTTTGAATTTATTATATTAATAAGCTAAAAACATACAACTTGAAGACCAAGTACAAAATAAAAGGTTGGACCTTCCCATGCTTACTTTCCAGTTCAACAACCCATTCACTTTTATAATAATATCAACAATTTCATAATGAAAAAAAAAAAGATTTCTGGAACAAATCAAGTTCACGTAACAAGGTAGCAAAAGACATCATGACTTAAAATTTGATACTTTAAAACTGGCAAAATCTGTATGTTGACTAGCATAATTTTCCCTAATATTCCATATCAAGAAGACTCCAAAAGGATTTGTGTTATATACTAAGCAACATTGTTTTACAGGAAAACAGTATTTCTAACATTTCAGCTAGCCGTCTAGAAGACATGGCAGCCTCCTCTAGCCGAAAGTATTGCAAAGACTCGAAGGCCAATTTTCAAAAGGCTCGAGTAAACCCATAATGAAATGTTTCCAGAATCACTGATATTGGAACTACTACTAAGACCTTGGAATATCTGACAACACCTAGCCAGAGAATGGTATCAATGCAGACCAGTAAAAGAGTTGAATGGCACGCCTAGCCATCTCCTCTTATCTCTCAGGCATGTAGAAGAGATAAACGGCCTCAATCCTCATTGTTTACAACCAACAGCCAAAGAAACGCATCTTCGATTGTTTTTGCACAGCGGGCAGCAAATCGAACCCAATAAGAATATGATTCGTGGTACTACCTTACGTACAAGCCAAAGGGAAAACCTATGTTCAATCTCCTTAATTTTATCGATTTTTCCGTCAAAACTAAAAGGAACTACTACAGACATACGAAGCAGAAGTTTTTTGGCCCTCGAACACCAGTAATTTCTCTCATGCATCAACGAGCACCCGCCGTGTGCTAGCGTAGCCTATGCAACCATACCCACGCCCAATTTCCTAATCTTCCTCGATCTCTACGCACAAAGATCGAGTTTTTATAGCTTCGAACAGCAGCAATCTCCCACGACACGCGGAAATTCCACTCAAGAACATCAGACGTGAAGCTTTACATGCCAACCGTTCCAAAACCTAACGAAATCCCTCAAGGCACGCAACCACAGAGAACAAGAACAGAGCAAACACGCAAAGAGCGATATTTTCCCAACAAAAACAAGAAGAAGAAGATGAAAAGACCGTACCGCGGTCAGACTGGACAGGTTAACGCGGGGACTGAGATCCCGCAACGAACGCCTCCGTTTGTGGAGAGCATCGAGGAAGCGATCAAATGAGGCTCTTATAATGGCGTGGAAGAAAGAACGCCATCATGCTCCCTCTTGCCTCACTCGGCAACGGCAGTCGTTGTTCCTTTCGCAACGGTGTGAAAGGAAACACCCACTTTTCCATCCGGCTCCGTGAGGATCCTCTCCAGATTATATTGCAAACAGAATCTTATAATCTCAGCATCAATCGCCCGCGAAAGCCTTTTCTGCGATGGCCCAATCATAGATCCTGAAGAGGGGGCCCGCCTCAGAAGCGAAACTTGGAGAGGATCCGGATTCGTATCCTTCCTCGGTCCTCGAATGTTGTGCCCAAGCGGCGTGGGCGTAGGAGTCGGGACTCCGGTTCTGCAGGATCCTCAACCTCTCATACTGCAAACAACAAATTAAAAATCCACGAAATCGACGCCCACGTAGAAGTTCCCAGGTCACAAATAAAACTTCTGAACGTGTCTCAGCCGCAAAAACTTGGAGAGGATCCGGATCCGGATCCGCCGCCTTCCTCGGAGCTTGTGCGTGCTCAGAGAACATATTGTGGGATCAGGACGGTGGCTTCGACCCGGCTCATTTCATTGGCTCCAGAGGGGCGGCTGACGTCGGAATCTGCAAAGTAGAATCTTTTGGAAGTATCAGCCTTCGTCATCGAGAAGTATTGTGAAGATAAGGATGCCGAGGTGAAGAATGATACATTATTTGGTTGGACAAGACCTCTCGTTGCAAACTTGTGGTGTGTCATCATCCTAAATCTTAGAATTCAGATATTAGTCAAAAAAATTCCACCAAATTTGTAAATTTCAGCACGAAAAAAAATAATATTATAATAAAAATAGGAAAGTCTTAAAATTAAATAAATTTCCTCTTGAACCGACTGATCAAACAAAAAGCTAACTTTTAAGTTTTGAAGCCACCATTTCTCATCAAATCCATATATATGGATTTGATGAGATCTATGCATCATACAGTATATCCAATCTATAAAGAAAAAGAATAACCTCAGGTCTCAGGGAATCAAGCATGGAGGAGAGGTAACACATTTGGCTGTCCACAAGTCAATGTCACAGCTTCAATATTGTAGGATATCACATAAGCGAACAAATAAACCGGACATGGAAATGCATTAATGAATGACGATGCAACCAAGATGATGGGAGTCTGAAACTATCTAATTTCTGCGTGCCGTTAACGGAGAAGGGGCGCTTACGACTGTTGGATCCTATGCATATAATAGTGAGATGTGACCTAAACAGTACAATTAGCGATGACAATTTCACAACTAGATCAATTTTAATGGAGATAGTAAATTGCTTATAAGTGGTAAGGACGAATCAAACTAGACCGAGGTGCATCAATTAAGTCAAGCTTAATCGACTTTAACCGTAAATTATATTGAATGGGATCAAAATAGGAGCAGTTTTATTTATCTCGACCTTGAGATCCACCCTTGCCAACTGCATCCTGCAAAAATGCAAAAAAAAAAAAAATCATCACCTAATTTTACATTGGCAATGTGTTTTCAAATGTATAATTAATGCATATATTAGTGACATTACATTGCATTATCATAGGATAAAGATGTGCTACAATTATCAACCTAGGATAAAGATGAGGTAGGAACAAGACAAGGTTTTCAAACGGAGGTATCAAGAAACTTTGAACGAAAAGCTACAGTACATGTATTTTCTACCTATTGTCCTCCCAAAATATTCACATTATCAAGATTTCGCCCTCTACTAGTTTATGGCCTCACATAATGGCATGTGTTTCTAAATTATGGAACAAAGTAGGAAGCATTATTTCAACTCCATTATTCTCTGCATGCAATAGATAGGTCTTTTATAATAATGTTGTAGCAAACATTTCCCAACTATTTCCCTGCACTTACTACTCTACAGCATCCAGGAGCATCTGCATTATGGAACTAAGAGAGCTAAATGAGACAGATTTTTATCTACCTCATTTTTTAATGAGGCTTTTAAATCATTTTTGCTTCGTTAGAGAATCCCAAGTTAAGTTGTTTCATGCAAAGAATGATGCAGGTAAGTCTAGAGAAACACCATGGGAAAAGCTTCCTAGTTCTAGTGATTGAAATATATTATACAAAAATCATAGGCTAGAACAACAACAAAAAGTATCAGTGAAATTTTTGTTGTCTTGTGGACCAGGAAAGTTCTCGACCCACACATCTAAAAAGGTTTTGGCTAGTGCTAATAATTGAATGGCCAAAGTGATTTCAAACGTCTAGCTAATTCATCAACATGAAATATAAAAGATTTTTATTTTACCCGTTGCTTCTAGGGTTACAATATATCATGGTTGTCACTTTCAATATAATATAGGTCCACTAGAAAATTTCCAATTCTCACATCTTAATTATTCATTCATTCATTCTTAATCATTAAATATTATTCTTGGCATATTAAAGACATTCGATCTAGTTAATTAATTCCAAACCAAACCAAATCCATAGGTTCAGTTCCAATTTCCAAAATCAACTTAAAAGTTTAATATTCAAATTAAACCCATGACAAACCTCAGTTCTGGGATTAGTCTAACACAATTGGTGATGAAAGAAATTTTGTTGGGATTCCTAGAACATAAGCCATCAAGACAAAAGCTAGGTTAAACATGGCATACACTTGGGATCTAAATTTTATAATAAATTTATCATCTCATCTGCATTCCACATCCATTCAATACTATATTTAGATTATATTCCACTATATTAGATATTTAAAGTATCAAACATAATAACATTTCAGAACCTAACATCTTATGACATACACATCTTCCACTTAGATTGAGTGATGAAAAAAATTAATCACAACCATGATACCGAATGCTTATAAATCAAATTGAATAATTGGATTAAGTTATTAATAAAATTCAACAACGGTTCATACCTTCTTGTCAAGAAATCATCAAATCCTCGCAAGACCAAACACCACAATGGCATGTGCAGACCCCACCGACAGCTTAGACCTGCACAATCGACCAGAAGAGTGTAGATGTCTTTCCCTGTTTTTAACAGCATGTTAGACATAAAATCAACTACATGATTAGCAAGTGAGATGGTACAAAGTAGTACCTACACTAACCAGCAAGCTAAACAATAAAACAGATGCAGACTGAAACAAAACATGCAACCAGAAAAACACAATATTGAATCAGCAAAGAGTCGGTAGTCATCAAATCATGCTACATGTAAGAATCCTGCAAGGAATCTAAATACCTTATACGCCAATCCCAATACAGAACTTGTAATAATCTCATCATCAGAACATCTTAAGCTTTGCACAGAATATAACAGCAAGTAGTCTAGGTAAGCAATACACGATTACCTCACCAACACCTTGTGAAAACATACATTTTCACTAAATGCTACCAATATTCCAAGAACACAGGACATTAACCAATAAAAATAATGCTAGAATTGACACAGTCAGTTATTGATGTGCTCAAACAATAAATATTTAAGTCATTTCCTTGAAATAATCATAGAACATATGTAGGCATTACTCGAGAACAGCCCCCAACCTGTAGAAAGACATTGAAGTACAATTCAGCATCTTGATCAGATTATAGTATCAGTTTCAAGATAACACCTGTTTCTAACAAGACTTGACAGACCACCCCTTTTCCCTCTACCTCCCAACAATGATTTCTGTATCTTCAAATTTTACAAGAACCCAACTGATAAACACATAAAGCAAAAGCAATGATGATGTTTTACTTCCCCACCACTTTAACAGGTCAAACAAACATGTTTGAGACGAACCAAACAGCCCAAAAGGACCCTCGAAGTCTCATCACATATTTTACAACCTCCAACTTACACACACACAAAAAAAAAAATGAGAATGAAGCTGCCTGAGGCATTACAGTTTCCCATGCTTCCATTCGATCATATGTGATTCAGTCAGATAATACTCTCAAAAGTGGGGAAAGAGAAACTGCTAGTGATTAAGCAGGCAATGAAGAAAAGGGATATCGCAAACTATGTTTAGCCTTCAAGTGTGTCATGCTATCAAAATTATAACCCTCATGAATGGGTGAATATATCTAAGCTATAAATTAATGGAATGGTGCTAATCCCAAGCACTAGTCAACCCTGGATTGCCATAACCACCTCCATACCCTGATGCCGCATATGACCCACCTCCATACCCATTGCCTCCACCATAATACTCACCGCCTCCACTCCTGGTAGAGGAATCTCTTCGAAAGTCACGGCCTCCAAATCGTGCTCCACCTGATCGACGGTTTCTACCACCATATGAAGACCGAGTGGTTGCATAGCGAGAAAGCCAATCTGGCACCTCCTGGCTTGATTCCTGCATAAGCTCTGCCAATGGCCTGGCTAAAGATGAATTATTCTCATTGAAGAATGCGGTGGCTAGACCACTCTTTCCAGCTCTCCCAGTTCTACCAATGCGGTGAACATAGTCATCAATGTCATTGGGGAGGTCAAAGTTGATAACATGTGACACATGGGGGATGTCGAGCCCACGGGCAGCAACATCAGTTGCTACTAGAATTGGAGTTACACCACTCTTGAAGGATCTCAGTGCTCGTTCCCGTTCCTAAATATGTCACAAGCAACAGGTCAAAATATCACTTACCGAACAGAAAAGGTACAAAAATTACTTAAAAAAATAATGTGTTGCTCATAAAGGGAGAAGAACGTTAATTTAACCGAGTAATGAAAATTACTCCACCCACTGAATCATATTACTCAAATTTCTAAGCTGTATAGAAGAATGGAACAATTATCTGATCTTCCAACAATTTTGAGATTTACACAATCACTATGGTTTAGTTATATCTTTCAAATGCACATCACAGAATCAGTGGTCTGAAATTCCAATTCTCAAAGTTGCCATATCTCACTGGGAAGTTATATTTGTAGGTTCTAAAGAAACCTTGCAGTAATCTGGATTTGCTCAATGAAACATAGCATCAAAACAAGAAATTGATGTCAAATAAATATATCACCAATAAGCTTAATCTGAATCTCGAATATATAAGAGTGACAAATTAGATAACCATGTCAAGAATTTTTCACTAAGAATGATTTTTATCTAAAGGGAATTCCCAAAAGCTAAATCACCC